AAATACGTTGGAGAATTCGTCGTTAAAATCAAGATCGCCGGAGCAATCTGCATATGCAAGACCACAGACGCAAAGTACATCACACACATACACACACACACACACACACTACAGTGTGAGATAAATACATCCCGAGAAATCATCCTACGATGCGTCATACAATTTCGCGCGATTGTCTCCCCTTGCGCGAAACGTTTCCGATCTACACGCCGTCGACGTGATATATCGATGGAGAAAGTACGGACAACGACTTCTCGATACGACATCGAACGGTCGAAATAGTCAACTTTTACGAGCGGCAGTGCCGCGCGACGTGTCCCGTCGCTCCTACAAATTCGAGCGTCGAACTCTCTACTCGGTGATCGTCTATTCGATCAAAGACACGTCGTTGGCACCTGAAAACTTCGTCTGGACCGATCAGTCGATACTCCCATCCGATACTTTCCTAAGTGCAGTGGCAAAATTGCCGATAAGTGATTTAGATGTTAATTCGAGTAGCATTATCTCGATTATTTGAAAGGCTTCCAAATAATTCGACCTTTAAACGCGAATAACACGCGCTAGTAAATTTTCCAACAATGGATCACGCCATGCTTAAGTGCCCGGCTTAGAGTTTCAAGTTTCGAGTCACCTGAGCAAGGATGAGAGCACACAGTCATTAACACGCCAATATCGAGGGCATGCATGGAACAGCAGTGGTAGGCAGGTTGTCGTCATCATCGTCGTCGTCGTCGTCGTCGTTGAAGTTACGCCAGGTTAGGCTAAGTGTTTTGTTTAGACGAAGGAAGAGGTGAACCGGGAGAGGGAGATCGGAGAAACCGAGGACGAGGAAGAGCGGGCAATACGCCGAGCGCGATATTGGGAGCCATTGTTCTAGAGCCGCGACGCCATAGAGACGAGGAAGCATTGTGCGACGAGCCGACCGCTCTTGTTGTGTGCCGCGTTTGCCGGCATCACGGCTTCGCTCGATTAAAAGGGTGTTAATTGACCCCTCGATCGACGTCTGGATGGCGGACGCTGCCCGAACGAATTTCTCATATTGCCGAGCGCTTACAAACGATTCGCCTTGCGGCGCGCACCCGGTATTCGCCGCCTGCATTCTGCGAGACGATGATATTTCCCTCGGACGAAATGAAAACTGTCGGGCGATTTTATAGTACGTAACAATGCCGGATCGATATTGCGGCTCTCACGAATCTCGACTACGCCTAACACCCAAAACGTTTGTTACTTCCGATTAGGACAAATTTGCACGCGGATTGCTGAAGATTCGACTAGTTTGTTTCTTTTTTCTGTTGATATTATTGCGAATGACATGCAAAAAAGACCGTATACACGACAGGAAGATCATCTCAGCAGGAGCTGAGATAAAGAATGTTGGGAAAGGAAGAGGGAGAGAGAAAGAGGGCGAGTTGCATCAGATCTCCGGTGCGAACGATTTAGAAAGAAAGAGAGAGATAATTTAGCACACGTATTGTGTAGTAATAAATTTCGCACGCAAATATTTATATAAAGTAAGAAATATTTTATTCCACCTCCTGATAAATGATTCTCATTTTTAATGAAGTAATTAATTATAAGAAATTATCTTTACCAAGAGTCCCTTCGGTTCTCGCAAATTGCCGATCGCTAAAGATTTACGTTTTATATTTCTCTGTCTAGACAGTTTTTTTTTTTTTCTAAAAAATCTCGCGTGGGATCTCGCGTGTTTCCGACGAAATTTATATAGCACAGAAAATATCTGTGAAAAACGCGACTGACGATGTACAAAGTGTTCTCGTATATGCCGAAAACGTAGCGGAATCTTTTTCCGGAATATTCCTTCGACGGAATATTTCGGGGATCAACGGCGACGACGTTCTCCATGTTCACAGCCTGGCCTTCCAACGAAACGGCCGCTGACCCGATCTCGCGCGCGCATTGCGGAAGGGATCGATTCTACGGCGGCAGCGGCAGTATCCTGGTCGTATATCGATCGATCTCGCGCTCGGGCCTTGGGATCGCGCGGAGCGTGGAAACGGCTTTTATGGTGCCGACAAGCCGGCATAATACTACCACGGGTAGCTGGTCGTTCCGAGGGTCCATGCTTCCGAGACCAAGTTGCACATCGTGCAAGTACCATGCTCGGGACGCGCAGGTAAAGACGGATTTACAACGCGGGCGCCGATCGATTACACGTTATCGTTATCATCGCCGGCGGTTTTTGCTCGGACTTGGGTGACGGGAAATCAACTATGCGGTCGCGCTCGAGAGAGAGAGAGAGAGAGAGAGAGAGAGAGAGAGAGAGAGAGTTCCGGCACCTCTTACGCGATCCCTCTATCCGCTACATCGGAGATATGATTTT